GTCTCCACTGAAAAGCGCCAGGTGGCCACTCAGTAAACATCCCTTGACAAGTCTGTCCCCACATGGGGGTCTGTCCGTGGGTCAGAGTATGGATGAGCGAGTGACAGAGCAATCGAGTGAATGTGGGGACGGAGAAGCAGTGACAACCCGCCCGGAACACGGCGTGCCACCGGGCCCGCCCGCCGAGGCGCAGCCGAGTCCTGCCGGTGGCGCAGGTCTCAAAGGGTCACTCTTCCCTCTGCTGCCACTGGAATAACGGCTGGACCAAGAGCTGGGCACCCTGGGTACTTCTGTGCTTCACCTCCGAATAAAAGGGCCGCGGAGCATGCACTAGTCCCCGACGCTGTCTCCGCCGTCCCCCCTGCTCCCCGGGGCTGCGCACACCCTCCGCCCCCTTCTCCGGCCTCCTGGCCGAGATGTCACGCAGGAAGTAGCTGCAGATGTGAGCTCACTGCTCCTAGGTCACTGGAGGAACCGCGGTGCTGAGAGGAGCAGGTTGAAGAGCAAAACGGCGACTGCCCTGCAGAGTTTAAGTGTCAGAAAAACATGGACGCGCCTGAAACCCTTCCTGGCTCTTTGTGATTCTGCCCTTTCAGACGGTCCCCGTTTCTGAGTTCCATTCTCTGAATCTGCTCTGCGGGAGACGCGCTGGCTATAAAAAGCTTCTTCGCCCCAGGACGAAGTGCAGAGAGCCTCTGGGCACCGCGGTAAATGACGGGAACCCGTTGGCAGCCGCGGACCCACAGCGAGCTGTCCCCAGCCCCCTGCCCTTGCCCGCGACTGGCTAAGGGGTCTAATGAGAAGCAGAGAGCGAGCGTGCTGGCAGTCCCCGCCGCGGACAAAAGGCAGCCGCACTCGGCTTCACGTGGTAGGATCTGCGACAGGACCTCGTGAGCTGTCTCTAATCCCGGGCGGCAGGTGCGGCCCAGGGAGAATGTGACAGGCGCGCGCTTCTTAGCTCCCGATCTGATTTTCCAGAAATAAAAAGGCGAGTGGCAGCTCGGCTTGGCTCTGCGAGGCAGTCCCCACTCCCACCGCCGGCTGTCACATTGAGGGGAAAGACCAGGGATGGCTTCCCGCCTTCCCAGCAGGCCTCGCTCTGCGGTGGCCACCGCTGCCACCTGTGGGCAGGAAACGCGCGCATACACAGTAACTGCCACCACACAGTGAACACCAGACAGGAAGTCCTGGGCTTCACGGAGGAGCGGCGCTGGGAGGGTCCCTTCAGCCACCCTCGGAGAGCTGAGGCGTGTGGCTCCTGGCCCAGCTGTCCCACCTCGGAGGGGGAGCAGTTACAGCACCCACCACCGCGGTCGGGGTCGGGCGTCTGGGGACCGTCTTCTGCATGAGCGATGCCCTGTGTCGGTGACCAAGGACCCTCCCGGACCGTGTCACTGTGCTCCCCCGGAGCGCTTCGTCCTGCCTCAGGCTGAGCTTTTCTGGAAGCTGCTGAGAGCTCGCCCGCTGCCGCCGGCTCTCCTTGGACGGGTGGGCGCGGGCATGCGACGCGCAGGAGGGACGTTAACCGCAGGGCTCAGACAGCGTCCTTCTGGGAAACGCGGCAAGCCACACCAATCAGGACACCCGCGATTTAAGTGGGTGCACAAGAGGAAAACAGAACCCCGAGGAAAAGCCGATACTGAAAAGCAGAGCTGAGGAACGCTGCCACCTGACCCTTCTCTCTTGGCATTTTGAGTTTGAAAAATGCCAGACGTCACACCGCGAACTGCACCAGGCCTTCGGAACCGACACGGAGGTCCCCGCACTGCTTGTGACACGATCTGGCTCAGGGGCAGGGGCTGCCACCTGCCCACCAATCCCTTATGTTTTTTGTTTTTTACGCCTGCAGCACCTGGTCTTCCTAGGTGGTCTCCCATCCAAGTACTAACCAGGCCCGACCCTGCTTAGCTTCCGAGATCAGACGGGATCGGGCTTGTTCAGGGTGGCGTGGCTGCAGACTGGGCTTTTTAAAAAACAAAATCCCAAGCCCTTTCTGTGTGACGATAATTAGCTGAAAGCCTTACTGATAAAAGATCGAGCCCCATTCCGCACTACACCGTTTCCCAGTACGTTCCTGAACCTGACAGCGGGCCGACGGTGTTTTAGCAGGAAGCACGAGAGTCTTAAACCCGCTGGTTCTTACCCGCCTCTGAAAAAGGACATGGACTTCGCCGGCGTCTGCCTGCAGGTCTAATGGGAAAGCGCTCTCACTGTCTCCAAGCTGTGAGACCTTCAACTCTGCAGTCAATGTCGGGGGTCAAGTCCATTCAGTTACAAATAGGTGAAGGTAGGGATGATAAAGGATCTCAGAAAGGGTTCTGCACACACACAGACAAATGCCACTCACCAGCTGACATAAAATGCCCATCCCTACCAGTCTCCTCTTTATCACCCCAGTCACGTTATATGAGTACGAGGAAGGACTGGCAGGTGCTCCTGAATCTCCCCAACTAATGTCAAATTTTAGACACTGCCTCGGCGTGTGTTCGTAGTTTTAGACAAATACCTAGAGCTCGGCGGGTTATTTTTCAGGGAGGAAAAATAAAAATGTAATGCACAGTCTCTCCAAATCTATGCTTCGCAGATTTTATGACTTCCTAATAAACTTCCTGCTTGATTCAAAAATACTGAACACTACACAGAACGTTAAGAAGATGTATACACAAAGGCGAGCATGTGTAAGCCCCCCTCACGAAGCTGCCCACTGTTAAAATATCAGGCTCCGGTCTGCAGCTCTCACGGGCCCTGAAGTCGCCGCCTGCCTTCTGTGCGATGCTTCCCTCAGTACCACAGAGGACGTGAAGAGAAACAGTTAGAAAAGAACCAAAGAATCATTTTCCTGGTCCTCGCTAGTAAAGTGAAACGAGATGCAGACGATGACCAGTACTCTTTCTCCTTGGAGGGTTTTGGACCAGCTGCTGGGGACACCCGACAAAAGCAGTCGGCTGGACGAAGTCAGCATTTGAGGCCGAGGCCCTGTGCATGCTGGACAAGTCAGTGGCAGGGGTGTGGTCGCTTGGATGAGAACTACGGAGTGGCTGCAGGAAGCCCACCCCCGAGGACACGGGGACGCGCTCCTCCCCTCGGGCTCCGGACCAGGGCGGAGGCACGCCCTCCTCCAGCTTCTGGCTAGCTCGCCGGGCAGCCAGCATCAGAAGAGTCGAGACCACGATTTTCTTTCTTAAACTTTGAGTTTTGGGTTAGTTTTAGACTGACGGGAAGAGCTGCAGATGGTCCACGTGGTTCCCACACCCCCTCGCCCGGTCTGCCCCGCTGTTACCATCATTCACTACCTGGCACGTTCGTCACAACTAGGAAAACCGAATTGGTTACTTAGAACCAAACCCCAGAGTTTATTTGGATTTCCCCAGCTCTTCCGGTAACATCCTCTTTCTGTTTTGGTATCCGGTCTGAGGGCGCAGACTGCATTTAGCTGTGACGAGATCGTGACACTTTGTTTTACAGGCTCCCTGAAGGTGTGGTGCTGGGCCTCGGATCCCGCCCCCGGGCCCAGGCACCTGTCCGCTGCGGACCCTTTCACAGTAGCCAGGTCCAGAAACAAGGGGATGAGGCGTACGGGGAGCACCACGAGACGCTGGTCCACTGTGCTCTTCCCCTACGAAAGCCTTATGCTCAGTGGGTGATGAACCAGTTTTGAGACTAGACAGAGGTGGCGGCACTAAAAGCCACAGATGGGATCGTTCCCTCAAGAATGGTTAATGTTACGTTAGGTGAATTTCACCCCCCCACCCCCCGATTAAAAGACAGGCCCTACGCTAAGCGCCCCGGCGTGCCTTGGACGTGACTCTTAAGCGGGAATGACGCGGACCCAGCTTTCAAAATCAAGTCCGTCCTCCGCATCTGCCCCTTCAATGGTTTTGCACCGAATGAGAATAAAACCCAAATTCCCACCAGGATGTAGAAGCCCCAGCCTGGCCCCCGGCCTGCCTCTCCCCTCCTGGCCCTCGGCACTCTCCAGGCCCAGGGTTCCCAGCACGAGGTCCCTGGGCTGCCGCCGCCTCCATTGCCCGGGAGCTGTTCTCCTGGCTTCTCAAACGGCCGCCCCACCCCTCGCTTCCTGTGTCAGGTTACATTCTGCCCCAAGACCTCCTGGGACTACCCGTGTGCAGGAGGCCCCACCGGCTGTTCTGGATCACAGCTCCTACCGACGACCTGGAGTGATCTTATTTATTAACACTTTCTGTCTGCCTTGTTTTCCCCTGGGGTCCTAGCAGCTGGCACAGAGCCTCACACAGGGTAAAAGGGCGCTGGATGAAAGCACAGACGGAGGAAGGAGAACGGAAGGGCGTGGCCGGTGTCCTGCGGGGGCTCTGGCCCGAGAGCTGGCAGCGGCGGGGACCCTCGTGGACCCCGGGCATCCGCTGTCCAGGGAGGGCCCTCTCCACCACCAGGAGCTGTGAAATGGGTTTTCTCCACTCACACTGCATTTTTCCCCCTAACATTTTCAGAACAGTATTTCACGAGGGAACCAGCTATCTGAAAGAGATGTCACCGGAGTGTAAAGTGGGGGAGGGGGAGGGCGGGGCCGGCCCGCCTCCCTCGGCACATCCCCGCGGAACCCGTGTCGGCCACGAGGGCTCTGAGACTGAGGATAAAACCTGCCGGCTGAGCTCGGAACAGCTCGAAAGCCTCTGTTAATCCACTCTTTGTAGGTGAACAGTCCGAGTTCTGGAACATACACAGTTACGCGATCACCACCACCACGAAGACACAGACGGCTGCTCACCCACAGGCGTCCCCCTGAGCCCCTCTGCGGACAGTCTCCCAGCCTCGCTCCCAGCCCCGGGTCACCGCCGACCCGATTCCTCTCCCTAAGGTTTTGTCTTTTCCAAACGTCATATAAACGAAATCGTACAGTGAGCGGCCTTTTGTGTCTGGTTTTTTCACTTTTTTAAAAAGCCTGCGATTTAAGACTGATAGTTTATACCTCAAAGCATACCTTGATGCCTATTGAGTAAGCAGCAAAGAGTAAAACTTACCTTCTGGAATACTTGGTAGTTAGATTTGGACCATATATCGAGCTGTGGGGAAAAGAGATAAAAGTATCATTAGCATCAATTTTAGAACTCTGGACTTAAAAAAATGATACTGTAATTACTGTTTGAAAAAAAAATATGGTTACAGAGTAAGAAAATCTTGGGGTTGAAAGGATCTTAAATGTCCTGCTTGAAATTCCTCTGTATCAGCCCGGTGGTGATTTAAGGAGACTAAATGAAGAGATACAGAGAAGTCCGCTTGAGGCGTTTGTTGTGTCCAAGGCCCCATGAGCCGAGCCCTTGCTCGGCTTTCTAACCTTGACTTCTACTGTGGTTTGCCTGCACCGCTCAGCGTGCCACAGTCAATCCCGTCTCAGGACCTTCGCACCTGCTGTGCCCCTCGCCGGGGCTGCTTTTCCCACAAACCCTCACGCGGATCCTATACTTCCTTACTTCCTACATCTTCCATTCAGATGTCACCTTCTTAGACAGGCATGTCCCAGTTACTCTGAAATTATTCCCATACTTGTTGTCTTGATTCTCTTTATTCTTTTGGAATTTAAATTTTTCATAGCGTTTAAAACTGCCTGGAACTTTGTTTACACAGCCCTGGTGCGGGACCTAGCATGTCACAGGCATCAGGAGGGAAACTAGCAGCTCCCATCTGGTGACACCTGCTCCGCGCCAGGCTGCGTGCTGGGGCCTCCGCACGCGCTCTCATCCAATCCCCAGAACGCGCCCACAGGGCTGGCTCCATCAGCAACCTTCCTCCCCACAGGACGCCGTCCAGAGCCATTCGGTTGCCCAAGGAACTGGAGAGGCTTTTCGCGGATGGTCTCGCCTAGTGGTGTGCACACTTGGCTGGCATCGGAAGGCCTGGGGCGCATTGTTTTGCTTTTTCCTATACAGATTCCCTGGTTCCTCCCCGCCCCCAGGAATGTCTAAATTAGTAGGTCTGGAGTGGGGCCGAGAATCTGTGCATTTGCTTGGTTTAGTGGCGCTCTCCAGTGTCACCGCAAGGGCTGGCCAGGTCAGGAGCTCCTGATCTGGGGGGCCCGCTGGTTCGCAAATGAGGGAACTGGGGGTCCGAGGTGAAAGGTGTGTGTGGCTCGCCCTCTGGCCGGCCACTCCTGGTCTCGTAGAGTGTACTCTGGTGGCACAGTCTCACCGAAACCACTTCGGTTTCATAGGTTTGCACGATAAATCAAATCAATGCCTCCGCACTATTTCAAGAACAAATTAAGTACGGTGAAAAAAAGATGGCCCCCAGTACGGCGCTGGAGAGAGCTCGGGGGCAGCGCAGATTAAAAGAGGGGCCGCCAGTGCGTCCCCCGGTGCTGAAGAGTCACCTTAATGTATGAGTTCAGGAGCTGAGCAGATTGAAACACGTGGTCAATGGGCCTCTTGGAACCTGCCTCTGGGGTTGGCCAGTGGTCAGGGTGGAAACCTGGACATGGCTATTTAAGCCTGCATGTCGTGTTACTGATTTTGGGACACGTGGGAGCATGAGAAGCAATCAGATGGGAAGATCTGTCTAAGACAGGAAGTGCTGCATCTGACATGGGGACGACACCCGAACCCGGCTTTCTGAAATCAGTCCTTGGAAACTGAAAGCTGGGCTGTGAAGAGACATTGTTCAGTTCTCCCCGGCTTCTTCCTGTTCACAATTAGTTTGGTGTAAATTTCGCGGGGTCTGAAACGCGTTAGGGCACGGCGGAGGAGGTTAGGAAGCCTCAGGGCTCCCGCAGGGCGGAGCAGGTTTGGCTAACCCAAGTCCAGTAAACCCCAGGAAGAACTCTGATCCACTGAACATTCGCTCACATCCGTCTACTTGCCCTGGCCCTGAGCTGGTCCCAGTCTTCCCTGCGTGTCTACAAAAAGCCTGCGAAGTGACCTCCCCGTTCTACATTCTGGCTCACTGGCTCTCCAGAAAGATGGTGTCAATTTTCAGTCACTGTCCCCCACTTAAGCCAACTGCCGGGGCAAGAATTTAAAAAATCTTGAGGCATTAGAATTTTAATTTGACAGGTTGGAAATTCGCAGGGAGAAAAGTGACACGTTACCTCCAGAAAAGTCTGAAGGGAACCTCAGGAGAAACGGGAAACGAGCATCCCCCCCATTCTCCCGTCCCCCCCCCCGCCCCCTACACCGCGGCTCACCCCCACGGCCGGCCTGCTGCC